AAATGTTAATTATTGTAATATTTTAATATTTAATAAGAATTTATTGTGATTAGACGGACAAGATTTAATATATACTTATTATATCACAATATGACGCAACATTACCATCTTATGACTTAACTATGTTCAGATTCCTTTATCATAAGCTAGTAACATTTAAAATTGGCCATTTTTCTTTCCACTGCTTTTCTATCTGTACCTTTTTCAAAATTATCCCACCGTATCTAATTTAACCTGATCAGATGATACAGCGTTGTTAACTAACAACACACCATAGCACTTTAATAGATGCTAAATGAGATCATTGAGTCATTAATGGTCACTTAGTGACTTCAAACTATCGATAAAGTCCTCGGTTTTCTTTCTGATCTTTTTAAAATCATCCCCAAATTTTAGGGTGGAGTTTGTCCTGTTATATCCTTGTGTAATGTAGTGGTACGCGTCGAAGTTCAACGGTGACACTCTCAGAAAACCGCTGGTTATCTAGTTGGACTTATCGGCTGAAATTAGTTGTCTTGTACCACGGTGGGGCATGTGCTTTTGACCATGTTTTGTTTTTATCTTCTGCAGTGGTCCACTCAGACCCGATAATCACTGCTACAACAAGGGTCTTAATAAACTGCAGTGAAAAATGAACAAGATAACCTATAAGACAAACTCAGCTCCTTGTTTAAACGTTACAAGTGTAGTTTTTTTTATTTTTAAACTTGTTTAATCAATTAGCTCGTGTAAAAACTAATTGTAAGGTAGCAAATAGGTTACGAGCTCAACTATAGGGTGTCTATTCAAGGTAGAACGGGATTTTTCTCTTCGTCACTAAGTCCTAACCGGCTATGGGGCCCACCCAACCCCCTGTACAGAGGGTATCGTGATTCATTCCTCCGAGGTAAAGTACCCGGGGCGTGATGCTGACCACTCATCACCACCTAGTGCCGAGGTCAAGGAAGAGAGGAGCTATACCTCCTCTCACCCCAAACGCCTACATGGCGTATAGTGGGACAAACTTTATACTTCATTTATTTATTATCATTTATGCTTATTTCAATTTTCAGTTACATTCATCAGCCCCAATCAATTACAGCGGACGGTATTAACCATTTTGGGAAAGGTCATGTAGGTATGACCGTGATTGGCTCTGTTTTGTGACGATCCTGCAAACTGTTTTTTTTATTTATTTAGTGTTCTGTCTGACGACAGGTCCATATGAACAGAATCCTTCCATCCTTTTCTCGGACTGGGACCTGTTCATATACGTTCTTGGCAGATGATCCAGAAGTGGTTTGCCATTGCCTTCTTCTGTGTGTGAATGGAGTAATTGTATTCCTGTGTTTTAATATCTTTCTGGACTTCAGCCTGATGTCTAAACCAGACACTGAAATACTCGTCACTACCCTTGCTCCTTCAGTGAATTAAAACAGGCCACAACCACTTCTAAGTCATATTCAAGTCACCATCAGTAATTATAATGTATTGTTAAATAACGTAGGATTTCTGCCACACAAGAACAGCGTCTCCGTGAGATAATGAAATCATAAGTCATTACGGTGGGGACTAGACTTTTGTACTGTATAATAAACGAGTAATCGTTAGTGTTCCAGCACTTTAACAGTGTAATAGTTTAAAATGCAGGCTTCCGTTAAGGGGATTCCTACCTCACACCACAGCTACGTTTTTAAGTGCGCTGTAATAGCATTGAAGGCCCTTCACAGACTCCCCCTCAGCAAAAACAGGTAGCCACGGCTTCGAAAATTAGAATTTGAATGTATTGTCAGTCATGATGATTCGACACCTCTGTCACACAGGATAAAGTCATCGTTCATCACATTAGCCTGCTTGTGTTCCTTCTATTTTCTGTACTGTCATCATTTAAATATATTATCGTCCTTCGTGATGCTTTGGTCTGAAGAGAGGATGTCTTTTCGACTTTTATTTACAACAGAAGACACAGCTTTCCCACGATGACGAGTCTTTATTTACACACAATGTTCTGAAGTTATACACTGTGGGCAAATTATTGTGGTCGGATAATTTTTGCCTCGATAATTCTTTAAAATCTCATGGTTACATGGGTTTATAATGTCGATATTCATGTATTGTGTAAGTAATGTAAAATTGAATCTTGGAGGAAGTTAACTGATAAAAGCTTCTAGCCACTGGTAGTTACTTCAAGTTATGACACAATGGAATAATGACTGGCGAATTCACAAGTAATTGTGGCAGGTACCAATAAAAGATGGTAGTTGTGGTTGTTAATGGTTCGAAGTCTATCAATAAACTCCGTATTGTAGAATGACTGTGAATGAAACAGTTTGCAAAGGCACTGTGCGTTCCGTTTATTAACATTCACTTTCAGCGTTTAATTTATTCGAAGTGAAATATTCCTTCCGGTTCATTGGACTATAACTCTGTGACACTGTCCGTCTCGAGTCATCGATAATCAGCTGGTATGAAAGATACTTACTTATATGGAACCCAAAAATACATTAAAGTCATCACAAAATTCGATATTAGCAAACGACACAATGTTTCAATCAGACTACGTAATTAATGTCTGTAATAAGGGAATCCGCATTTGGCTTAGGATAGGAACCAGTGGCGGGCACTTGTCAGCACGGTAATAAACCTTTGGGTTCCTTAATATTTTGTAGATTCCTTAAAAGGCTGAGTTACTATTAGCTTCTAGGGAAGGACTCGACTCTATAAAGTAAGTAATGAATCCGTAATTTAATATGGAAACTGATAGAAAGACACTAACTAACTAACTAACGAGATGGCTTACCGAACCCGGAGGTTCATCACCGAATTAACCAAAGCCCTCCACCGGACCCTGTCCTGGGCCAACAAAATCCAGTCTCCTTCAACTCCTGTCTCCCATAGATCCCGCCTGAGATTATCCTCCCATCTACGTCTAGGTCTCCCCAGAGGTCTCTTCCCCTCAGGCTTCCCAAATAGTGGACCCAACCAACTAGATGGCTTACCGAACCCGAAGGTTCATCACCGAATTAACCAAAGCCCTCCACCGGACCCTGTCATGGGCCAACAAAATCCAGTCTCCTTCAACTCCTATCTCTCGTCTTAGATTATCCTCCCATCTACGTCTAGATCTTTCCAGCGGTCTCTTCCCCTCAGGCTTCTCAACCAATACCTGTTGCGACAGACAGACAGACACGCAGGACGATAACTGAGTTTCAGAGAAGAAATTCTGTTCCTCGGAATATGGATATATACACTTTATAACTCAAAAGATGGCACTACATTTGAAAATATCGAGAAAAAAGTGGTTTCCTTCAGGATCGTTGTGCTTTGTAGTCTGGTAGAAGCTGCCACCTGTAAAATGTCATCGTTTCATTATATTTGTTTCATTAACAACGCACTTTGTAAGGTTATAGCTTTTAAGGCCTATAGTTAATTAAGTACTGTTATAATTTGACTGAGACAGTTACAGGAATTTTGGGTAGGTGAGTGGCTGTCATTAACCTAACCAGTCTATCGGGTTTATTGGACGTCGATTCGTGTGTTTGCCTTATGGCCCGGGTTTAACGTCATGAATGCAGTGTCGATAAGCTGCTGTCTCAAATGAAACGGACATGACAGCAGATTGTATGCTTACGTCCTGCTTACAAGGCAACAGCTGAATCTTCCTTGAGGACAAATTGAAAGGGAAGTTATAATGGAAATTTAAATTTTATTGCCGCTTGAAGTGTAAATGGAATGGAATTATTATACGATGATGAGTTTTACC